GATCTGTGTATTCCATTGGTGTCAAGATTGAACAACCAAACTCTAAGTGGTCCATAGTCCAAACATAATTTGCATATTTTAGTTGTACCATCTTCTTTGGTGAAGATACTTTGACTTTTATAAAATACAGCTATCATCATTATTATTATTATTATTATTATTATTATTATTATTATTATTATTATTATTTAATATGTTAAATACTGACATCTTGAAATTAATATTGTCTTGTTAATGTTCTTGTCTGTAACTTGATTGTTCCGAGTGCTCCTGTTATTATAGATATAATGGTAGCATTAAAATGCCATGTTTGTTATTTTTTAGTTTCACTTTCAGTTTCCTTTTATTTATTTAATCATATTCTTTAACAAATATATTTTTTATCTAACAGCACTTCCATGTTTATGAGAAAGCATTTTCCTTTCAATTTGTACTCTTTAATGAATACATCAGTTCTATTAGCTTTTATATGTCTGTCAATAAAAATGGCTAAGATTTAAAGAATAGTGACTTCATGACTTCTACACTATTTTTCATCATCATCATCATGACAACTACTAGTATTACTGTTACTATTTTAACTATTTCGTTATCCATTTTGTTGGTTTTTACTTTTATCATTTATTCTTTTTATATAATTATTTTTTCATTACTCTTGTTTCATATCTAATTCAAGTCAATATTCGTTTAGTTTCACCAACAATGTTTTTAAAAATATTTTCAGAATACTTTTTACTAGATTTCTACTTATCAAAATTTCAATTTTGTGTCTCATGTTTTTTTAATTCAATCCACTGTCACTGTATATTACTTCAAATTAAATAATTCTCTTTATTTTTTCCTAGCAGTTGCATCTCATGCATGAATATCTATAATTTAATATAAAATATAGTAAAAAATGTTTTTTTCTGTATGTGAGCAGTGCCTTGATAGCAGTTCAGAATGGACATGCAGGTAATATAACACTTACTAAATCAGAAAGAGAAATCAACATTCCGAGTTCAGATTCTTACCTAGTCAGTAGCATTCACATTTGCACAAATGCTCTTGGGGAAAGAGAGAATCCATCTCTCCTTTCTACAAGTTAAATAGATTGAGTTCACTAGACTTGGCTGGTGGCCAGTCTAGGAGAATGAACACTATGAATTTCAAATGTGGGAAAGGCAATGGGAAACAAATCCACTATCTTTCCCAAGAAATCATAGCAATTCACAAATAAAGGAATTGAAACTGTGGAGAGCCATGATCCTCTACATCTTGAAAGTACATTACATTAAAAATAATAATGATAATAATAATGAGAATAATAATATAAATATAGAAATAATATAATGGTTTATAATAACTCTACTACTACTACTGATAATAATAATACACTTATGATTCAAGAAAAGAAAAGACATATTGTTTAACAATCTATAACAATATTTTAACAGTATGTCTTCTTCAAGATATGCATAGAAATTGCATAAAAGTATAAAACTATTTTAAAAAGTCTTTGTGCAAACATAATTCCTCTTGAGAAAAATCATTGTACTGGTAATCAATGTGACAAAGTGAATGAAATGCAGCCAGTGTGATTGGAATGCAACTTACCCGTGTGTAACATAAAGGGGTCATACTCATCTTGAAATTTTCCTTGAAGAACACAGACATACTGTTGAAATATTATTAAACATTGTTAAACTCTGTGTCTTTTCCTTTCTATTTCTTTTTTTAAAACCACGCTCTTCTCTAAGTGTTGCAAAATATTGGAAGAGTTATGTCAATCATTTTGTTCGTCAATAATAATAATTACTTTATGGGACTTTATAATACACACAGACAGAACAAAGACATAGAGATTAAAGTCCATGAAAACAATATACTTTCTTATTGACATTCCTGCAGACTGTTATGTATATTTGAAGACCTTAAAAAAACTCAAAATACTGTTCTTGAAGTGGGAATCTCAAAGATGAGGCACATGAAAACATTAATAATTCCAATTGTGGTTAGGGCCCTGGGTTTGCTTGGAAAAAATTATGATAGACACACTGAAAGGATCGCTGTCAGCCTATGTCTTAAAGAAATACAAAACATTGTTCTCACAAGCACAGCTCACATCCTGTGAAGGGATTTATCTATGCAAAATGTGTATGCTTTTAGGTTGTTTTATTTTTTACACAAATACACAGTGGGAAAAGTCATGATATTATTTCTGTCTTTAGGTCACTGGTTGGGATCCAGAAGGAAATGAGTATACAACAGAAATCAAAGGAAATAATAATAATAATAATTGACATGGCAATTCCTGCAGATTGTAATGCATATTTGCAGATCTTCAAAAAACTATCAAAATACAAATATCTTGAAGTGGTAATCTCAAAAATGTGGCACATGAGAACATCAATAATTCCAGTTGTAGTTGGAGCCCTCGGATTGATCGGAAAAGGTTCCAATAGACTCATTGAAGGGATTCCTGGTAGCCCATGCCTTAAAGAAATATAAAAAATTGTAC